AGAGCTCCTGTGGTAACCCACAATGCTTCCTTCTAGATTGGACCGGGCGATGCCGAAATGCCTCAGACGTAACCACAGCGTTGTTCGGCGTTGGAACCCAGGAAAAAATACTTGGAGAGTTTCAAACGAAAGTGTTGATTTACTCGGAGTTCTTCTTGTCCATGCTGTCCGTCACTCAACGGCCTTCTCGCCATGCTCGTGTGAGCCCTGCAGCTCATGTCCCCATCAGTGCCAGTCCAGAGTGCCTGACCGCTCCTCTGACGGTGTTCAGGCCCATGACCTCTCCAGCCAACCCAGAGGCTCCTGACCCAGTCTCCTGCCAGCTTGGGGGCTCCGACCCAGCCCCTACCAGTCCACCGACCCCAATCATATCCCCGCTGGTCCAGAGGTCCCGTACACAGTCTCCTGGCTGTACACAGGCTCCATGCCCACTGCTGCCGGCCAGAGGCCCCTGACCTAGCCGTGGCGGGCCGCGGGCCGGGCGCCGCGGGCCTGGCCGGGCCGGGCCGCGCCGGCACCTGTCGCCACATTCCTCTCCGGGCTCGACACAATAGCCAGCCGCTGCCGGCGGCGCCGTGACGAAGTCGTTTTTTCCCATAACCGTACCTGCGCCGGCGGCCGGCTAAATAAAAATGGACCGTACGGCGCGGCGCCCGGGGCGGCGGCGCGGGGTTCGACGGACGCCCGGCCGGGCGCGCTGGTGGATGACCTAGAGAGGGCCGGGGGACGGGCGGGGAGAGGCCGGGAGCAGGCAGGAGTGGGCCGAGGGACCAGCGGGGGAGAGGCGGGGGCAGGCAGGAGTGGGCCGAGGGACCAGCGGGGAGAGGCTGGGGGCAGGCAAGAGTGGGCCGAGGGACCAGCGGGGAGAGGCTGGGGGCAAGGCAGGAGTGGGCCGAGGGACCAGCGGGGAGAGGCCGGGGGCAGGCAGGAGTGGGCCGAGGGACCAGCGGGGAGAGGCTGGGGGCAGGCAAGGAGTGGGCCGAGGGACCAACGGGGAGAGGCCGGGGGGCAGGCAGGAGTGGGCCGAGGGACCAGCTGGGAGAGGCTGGGGGCAGGCAGGAGTGGGCCGAGGGACCAGCGGGAGAGGCTGGGAGCAGGCAGGAGTGGGCCGAGGGACCAGCGGGGAGAGGCTGGGGGCAGGCAGGAGTGGGGCCGAGGGACCAGCGGGGAGAGGCTGGGGCAGGCAGGAGTGGGCCGAGGGACCAGCGGGGAGAGGGCCAGAGGGCCGAGGGACCGGGCGGAGAGAGGGCCGAGGGACGGGCGAGGAGAGGGCTGGGGGGGGGGGGGGCGGGGTAGGGAGAGGCTAGGTTGGAATGGCCCAGGAACGGGGAGGGAGTGGGGAGGATTTTGAAGAAATCACATGAGTTTATTTGGAAGGATGGTGGGGGCGGCTTTGAAGTCTCAGCATGGTATTCAAGTTGCGTAGTGATTTCGAGCGTCATAAGTATTTTTGAAAAAAAACCTTAAAGGTACCGTTTCGTCGACATAATTCACGAGAAGCTTCGGCTGCGAGTAGTTTTTGGAGGCCTAGAATCCAGCAGCTCACTCTACATACCTTTCTTGTCATGGGTTGGTTGCCAGACGTCTTCCACAAGCATGAGAAACACACGAACACAGGCACTGCCGACGGCCATGCCGCTAAAGCATTTACAGCATCTCTGTCACTGTCAACGCCATGCTCCTCGATGGCCTCCATGCCGGTGGACAGCCTGCATGGCACGGTGCCACGGGAGACATTCGGGGCAGGGCTTTCGTGCGACATGGACGGCAGAAGTGGGGATGTCGTTGGCGAAAGTTTAGAGAGGCCCACTGAGTCACCGACGGCGTGCGATCTAGCCCATAGAGAGGCCCACTGAGCTACCGATAGCGTGCGATCAAGCCCATGGAGAGGCCCACTGAGCCACCGACAGCGTGCGATCAAGCCCATAGAGAGGCCCACTGAGCCACCGATAGCGGACGGCCGAGTCTGAGGACGCTGCGGGACTTGAGGACGGAACTAATCTGAAGAGAAGACAACGACAGCTAGAGGTTGAGCGACTGGGGTTCTAGGAGACTGGAGGCTGGGAGATCCGGGGGGAGGGGGGGGGGACGTAAGGTCGGCGGCGTCGCGACGTGGGAGGGAAGGGGAGGGGAACATCGTCGGTGAGCGGGCGGGAGGGGGGGGGAGGGGCGGCGGCGGGCTGGTGTTGTGTGCGTCATCGCAGTCTCCCAGCCGCGCCTGGCATAGCCCGGTCCGCTGTTGCTGTTGTGATTCGGTGTATGCTGAGCGTCCAACTCCAACTCTCAAGCCGAAAGAGCTGGTTTTCGGGAGACTGAAAAACATCGAGGCAAGTGTTCTCGCGCGTCATGGATCTTTCCTCTGGGAGAAGTATGCTGGTCAGTGAGTGGTGGCGCTGTTGTCACGGTTTCTCGGCTGCGCGGAGCTTAAGTGGCATCGAAACGAAGCGTCTTGCGTTTGTCGCCACTGGCAAGATCATGTCAGATGGCGTTTGTAAGCCAGTTTGCTGGTGGACGATGAATGAAAGGATGTGGCTTGACGACTTTGTGACGCTCTGGTGACTTTGGTGGGAGATTTTGTCGATATGGTGTCGGTTTTTTCCCATCTCCTGCCCTCAAGCTGGGCCGTTCTGCAGTCGAACTCGACGTTCTTATGTAGACACACCTGCGCGCTGTAAGCCGGGGCGGATCCGGCATCCATTCTCGCGAGGATTTCGTCCGGCCGTTCGCATCATCTATTCTCGCGATCCTCTCCCCCCCCCCCCCCCCCCCTCCTCCGATTTTAACACCGCACCGACAACCCGAAGACCAAACGTGAGGTCAAACCTCTCCGCCTTCTGGCCGTCTCGGGGAGCCACGGCGCCGCACTCGACCCCCTCCCCTCTCCTCGCTCCCCCGGCCGTGCAGCCGGCGGTGACCGCGAGCGCCCCCGCAGTGACCGCCGGTGACCCCGGCGCCGCCGCGCCGTCAGCGCCGGGCGAGCTCTCGGCGGCGGCACCGCCGGGCCGACCGGGCCCGCCGCCGGCTTCGCCGCTAATCATGTCAGCGTAATTGCAACGGCGACCATGACTTCCACACCGGGCTGAACCGGGACCGGCGAAGGCGGCGCGGCGGCGCGGCGGCGCGGCGCGGCGGCGCGGCGCGGCGCGGCGCGGCGCGGCGCGGCGCGGCGCGGACGCTGTGAATGACCTCCCCGCGAGAGGCGGTTGGGCGGCGCAAGGACGCCGGAGCGGTTTTTGCCGCGCTGCACGGCCGCCGAGCGCGGAGGCGCGGCCGCCGTGTCGCAGGTGTTGCGGATCGAGCTGATGCCCGAAGTGACGCCGGTCTACGCTGTGTGTGCTGAGGTCCTTGCGCTGTTCGGCGCGCGTTTCACGCAGGAGAGATAGGCTGGGAGCATGGTTTTTGAAAACGGTGGTCGTTTTTTTTGCGTGGCGGCGTATCTGTCTGCTGGCAACACAGGTGCGAAGCACAACGTTCACGGCGCGCCATGCTCTCATCGGCGCCAGCGTTGCCGCCCCTCCCCTGCTTCGCGCTTCGATTCCTTCCCCCGCCCCCTCCCCCTCCCCTTCCCCCTGTCGCGTCCGCTCCCCTCGGCGTGGCGTCTCTGCGGCGCCCCTCTTACCTGTCCCGCCCTCGGACGGACGGATGGAGGAGGAGGGGGAGGGGGAGGGGCGTTGACCGCCGGCCGCCTCGACCAGTTCTTCATGGCGGAACGCCCCCGGCGCGACGCCGCCAGCTGGGGCTGGCGAGGGCTGGGCGGACACTTGGGCGGGCGCCGCCGCGGAGTGGAAGTGCTGAGGCAGGCAGAACTAGGGCAGGCTGAGCTGGGGCGTGCCGAGCTGGGCCGACTGAACTAGGACAGACTGGGCTGGGGCAGAGTAGGCTAGGACAGACTGAGGAGGGCCAACTGGGCTAGGGCAGACTGAGCAGGGGCAGCCGATTGAACTAGGGCAGACTGAGCTGGGGCTGACTGGACTAGGGCGCACCAGAACGCCGGGACAGAGGCGTGGAGGGCAGACAGCGCTGCAGCGGGAGAGGGAGGGCGGGGGCGCTGGGGCAGAGTGTGGTGAGGTTGGGGGGGGGGGGGGGCAGGGGGATCGCTGGAATAGATGGCGTCAGGGAAAGCCATGCTGCAGATGGAGTCACCGAGCCTAACTGGGGCCTAACATGTAGGCCAAACCGCGTTGCGGCAAGACCGCTCTGGCGCAGGCCAGGAGAAATGACCTCTGCACTGATTGCGCCCGGCGTGCAGCAGACCCCGCGCTAAGTGCAGAGGATGCAACGCGGAAACAAACACGAATTATTCCTACAGAAAATTGCTTGGATGTTTCTTAACATACAGTTTGTACGAATACCCATTTTTTCTCGCGCGTACCTGCGTCTATATGTATGTGAAGTGTTCACAGGGGTGGTTAGAGCTTTCAGCATGCGAGGATGATCCGATCAACTTCCAGCTGAATTCGTTAAGTGAATTACGCGATGCAGTTCTCACCAACACGATCTGGATTCAACACGAATCCATCCCAAGCTTTCCCGTTGACTCACACTGCACTCCACGTCCGTCTGGTCTGCAGTCTTTATCGCGCAGTCCGTGGCTTGTCGGACAGATGAATACAGTGCAGCAGACGAAGGTCATATGTCCGGAAAACGCGCTTACGTGATTCTTCGATTTCGATTGGTTCGTGCCCGGCGGCTGTTTTTTTTTTGGCGTCTTTCCTTTTCCTTTGCTTTTTCCTTCGCTGTTTTTCGTTTTCTTTTACCTCGCGCGGTGTCTGGCGGCAACAGAGCGACTTCTCCGCAGCAACCTAGCGACTCTACTTAAATGGGTTTAGTCTGCTGACGTGGTTGAAGGGGCAGGGAGAAGAATGCAGAGGTGATGATGGTGTTTTAGTGCTGCCATCTGTCAGGAATAACCGTTATGTCGTCGTCGTGCCAACGCCCACCTGTCGGCCCATGGCTAACAAAACCGCGCTTTCCACAGGTGCTGCCACCTATAACAAACCATGGCGTCGGCGGGCGACGCCTACAGGTTAAAATGGCAAACGCACGTGCCCAGCCTGTGCACCGAATTTATGGAGCTGCGAAAGAACGAGAGTTACGTGGACGTGACGCTGGTCTGTTGCGGTGGTGAGATCAAAGGTGGGTGTTCAGCAGTTCGAAAGATACCGTGCTACTTTGGTGCCCATGTGGACAGGGGATTAAGTGTGGCATCAGGAGCAGCTGCCAGGGTGTCATGTCTGGCCTCCCAGAAAAGTAATACGACCACTAAGAAGAGTAGAAAAGGGCCGTTGTAGCCTCGTTGGTGTGGTTTGAATCCTGGTGATGACGTGAATGGTCTTTATCCTTGTTTTTCAGGTTAAGTTGGCGTTTGAACTTCGGAAAATATTAAAACGCATCACATGTGATGAAATGTAAATTCCTGACATCCACTGACATTCTACTAAGAACATTTCGTTTGCCGGCTTACGTGCAGAAATGTGTAATCCAGCCGGGTAGATAAATCGTCGCTTGTTCGGCAGCCCATCGGCTTCTGCTGTCGGCCTGTAGTCCACTGCTGGAGAAGCTTCTTTCGGCTAATCAGGAGTCAGAAGCCACGCTTATCCTGCCCGACCTACAGGTAACCATGGCAACGTGTTGCGGGTGTGTGGATGAAACGCAGCCATCAAATTGGTCGGTATTTGAAGCCGGGGAGGTGGTGGGAGGGGACTGATGTGTTCTTGGACCAAACCTGTGCTCTGGGAAACAAACAGACTGTGAATGTTCAGCGGTGAAACATCTTACGAAGGGACCAGCCACCACCAGGGATCATGTCGTACCCTAGAGTCAGCGTCGTCGATTGGCTAGTATTCGCAGGCAGAAGCTTGTAAAGTTGTGGGCTGCTGTCGAAAAGACAACACGTGTTGCGTTTTGTGGAAGAGTATGCCGTCCAGCTATGATAGCTGGTCGAATTATCACATGTGTTAGCGCGCCAAACGCTGCCGGCGGCATGCGCCCCCCCCCCCCCGTCCCAGCAAGCCCGCTGGACGGTCATTCTTAAAAGCCAGCGCTATTAATAGCCAGAATCGACACTCACAGTTCGCGGGTGTGCCGACAGGTGTCATGCGTGCGGTCGCTTATCGAGTACGTCTACACGGGCGAGATTTCCGTTCACGATTCGGAGATTGACGGCCTTGTGGACGCGGCGACGATGCTGGAGGTCCGCGGCATTGCAATGACCGGGTCACCAAACTCAGTGAAGGTGAGCTCCCGCCACGTGAACTGAAGCGCTTTTGTGACCCGCTGTGTTGCCCCCATTTTCTTTTTTAATTGTGTTACGCCTACTGTCGATCCCATTTTGACGAGGCTGCCACTGCACCCGCTTGCTGTAGGGCCTGCTCTTCTATACTGATTTAGGAAGAGATTCATGTATTCGGGTTTCTTGTGCCCCAGTGCCTTGTCTCCATTGCTCGCGTTTTGCCTGAGGCGTTTTGCCTAAGGCGTTTTTCCGGAGGCGTGTTGCCTGAGTTTGCAGTCTCCTCGCCGTGCCCGCGTCCGGCGTTTTTCCTGCGTCCGGCGTCTTCCCACCGCGCCCGCGTCCGGCGTTCTCCCTGCGTCTGGCGTCTTCCCACTGTTTCCGCATCAGGCACGCCCCCTGCGTCTCCAGTCGCCGCACCATGCCCGCCTCTGGCCCCGCCTGTGGCGCTTCCCGAACACTTCGCGCTTCCCCCCTTGTCTGTCATCTGCCCGCCGGACCCTGACGTCCTCCCGCGCCCCTCTCAGCAGCGGTCGGCGGCGCTGGCCGGGCTGCCGCTGCCGCTGCCGTTCGCCTTCCCGCCGCCGCCGCTGGCGGCCGCCGCCGCGGCTGCGGCCGCGCCCCTGCTCACCTCGCCGGTCAAGTCGCTGCTGCGGAAGAACCTGGCGCCGGCGCGCGCCGACGCCGAGCGACGCCGGTCCCCGCTCAAGCGGCGCCCGTCCTCCGAGGACGACGACGGCAGGAGGACGCGGCCGCGCGAGGAGGCGCCGCACGAGGTGCGCCGCTGCTCCACGCCGCTGTTTGTGGTAGGTGTGGCAGGTGCGGGGGGGGGAGGGGCTATGGTTGTGGAGGTGGGAGGGAGTCACCCATGTTTGGAAGGTTGCGAGCTAGCTTGTGGTGGGGTGTCAGCTCGGTATGAATGGGTTTCAGTTTGGATGGATTTTTCATTGATGAGCATGTTTGCATAGCGTTTGTCTATCGAATGGAGCCAAGCATTGTGCGTGTGTGTTTTCGGATAGATTTGTGTCTCTAGTTAAGCTTCACAAGATCTCTGCTAAGTTCCTTATTTTGGGATGCGTTACAGATTTTGCTCTCTAGTGACATGAAGTATAATGCTAACTGGTATATCATGTTATTTGAGGACGCCCAGGATAAAGCGACAGAGGTTGTACTACCGTATTCTTGCATTTGAATATTTCACTGTCCCATTACAGATATTGCTGAGATAATTTAAGTACGTTTGCAATTGCTGCGTTCATCAGTGGTACCCACGACCCCAGTTTTTACGAAAACTCCACCCAAAAATGTCATCCCCTCACCGGATTCGAACCCGACCCGCCGGCACTGAGACCCGCCGCCGCCATCCCTGACGCCGGGCGGCCGACAGGACACGAACGGTGCCGGGGAGGCGCGTCGTCAGAGCAGCAGCCACCGGACCGGAGCGACGCGTCCGAGCGGCAACGCGTGACAACGACGTCACAGGAGGTGGCCGACGACTCCGTCTCGTCACTGAACTCGTCCTTCGTGTCGGAGGCCGAGGCGGGCCTGCTTAACCCCCAGGTGAGCGGCAGCGGGGAGGGAAGGGGCCTGCTTAACCCCCAGGTGAGCGAGCGGGGAGGGAAGGGGCCTGATTAACCCCAGGTGAGCGGCAGCAGACAGGGAAAGAGGCCTGTTGATGGGGGGGGGGGGGGGGGCTACCGAGCTTGGATGAGCTGGTAGGGCAGATGAAGGCAGAAAAAATATCGGTAAATGAAATGATTTCAACGTGGGGTGTCGAACACAACGGTCACCCGAAAAACCAAGGCATATTTCGTTTTCTTGGACGCACCACTCCGCTCATCCTAGGCGACGACCTCCGACCAGTGTAAAGGTTCAATGGTTTCACGACGCTTACGACTTCAGTCGTGTCTAAATCTGGACACGTTACTTAGCATGTGGTTGAATGAAACAGCTGTTACATTGCACGCATGTAATTCGTGCTGTTGCGTTCTTCGAAACGTGGCGCCCCACATCACCTTGAAAGTCCGAAGCCAAAATTAGGTCATCAAGTCATCCTACAATCGTCTCCGGATTTCGCTTCACGGCTCCTACCCAAAATCCAGGCATAACACCAATCTGTCTGATTTATACCTAATTTAAGTTACCTTTATTCTAATTTTGATTTTGTGTTTATTATGCTGCCTGGCCTCTGTCTAGCCTCCTGCGTGGCGTGAAGCTGCCGAGCTCGATTAACCCTAGTGGCTGGCGTCATCTACCCTTCCTCGTCCAGACCTTTGCCCTCCGCCTGACCTCTGCTTGACCCATCTGACAGTCTGACCCCGTCTGACAGTCTGACCCCATTTAACACAGTCCGGACCCTGTCTGACCCGTCTATCCATGTGACCTCAGGTGGAGCTGAGCGAGGGCCCGGGTCGGGTGCGGGTCAAGGCCGAGCTGAACTCTCGCTTGACCTCGCCGCACCTGTCCGCGCGCTGGACGGCGCCGCCGGCGGCTGCGTCTTCTGCAAGAAACACTTCGTCAGTGCTGATGACCTGAAGGACCACATCAGTCGGGTGCATGTCACAGACAGACTGGAGAAGCAGTTTAAGGTGAGAGACGGCTCGGGTGGTGAGAGACGGGCTGGGGTGTTGAGAGGAACGGGCTCAGGTGGCGAGGGACGGGCTCAGGTGGTGAGAGACGGGCTCGGGTGGTGAGGGAACGGGCTCAGGTAGTGAGAGATAGGCTCAGGTGATGAGAGACGGGCTCGGGCTGTGAGAGACGGGCTCGAGTGGACATCGCCCGAGAGTTAGCTGTTCGAGCTCGTTGGTAGAATGAGGCGGCCTGCGTTCGGCTCCACCTATCTGACTGACTGACTGACTGACGTGACGCGTTCTGTTCGTAATGTTCATCCATGTATGTCCCGTGGTCTGCCGACGGCTGGGCGCTTGTCCACAGCAATCGATAATCGCGGATTTTATCGAAAATGCTATCGAGAATGCCACACCGCGGCCAGCCAATAGCGTAACACACGACGCTCATGCACTTTCATTACGGAGCTGTTATTCGTCACTTCACTGCCCCACGACTTTGCTGTTCCGCTGTATCGCCTTGCCGTCATGTGAGAAACGCCACGTGATATTTGCATCTCTCAACATCTCACGTGGCACGTTGCCTCCATCACGTGGGAAACACCACGTGCAGCAATCACTTGCCACCGTCACCGCCATGCTACACTATTAATGGTCGTCGCCGCGTGCTGCCACAACATGTGACACTCACGTGCCGTGCGTAATACCTGCAACAGCCATTTTCCACATATGCCTCCCCGCGCTGCCCTCTCGTGGCGCCATCGCGCGCCTCCATCACACACCGTCACCCGCATCACACACCGCCGCCGCACACCGCCACCACCCGTCCGCGCACACCCGCCTCCATGGCACGCCATCACCGCCACGTGCCTGTCCCGTTGCAGTGCGAGTTCTGTCCGGCGGCGTTCGCGCGCTCGGCGCACCTGAAGCGCCACGTGCGCACGCACACGGGCGAGCGGCCGTACGCGTGCCAGGTGTGTCCGCGAGCCTTCAGCCGTCAGGACAAGCTGAAGTGTCACATGGACCGACATACGGAGGACGAGCGGCGCAAGGCGCAGGTGAGACGACGGACGGGTGAGGAATGCCGTGGGATCCCGGAATGCGGTGGGATCTCGGAATGCGGTGTGATCTCTGAATGCGGTGGGATCTCGGAATGCGGTGTGATTTCTGGATGCGGTGTGATCTCGGAATGCGGTGCGATCTCGGAATGCAGTGGGATCTGGGAATGAGGCGTAATATCGAAATGCGGTGTGATCTCGGAATGCGATGTGATTTCTGGATGCGGTGTGATCTCGGAATACGGTGTGATCTCGGAATGCGATGTGATCTCGGCATGAAGTGTAATCTCGGAATGCGGTGTGATTTCTGGGTGCGATGTGATCTCGGAATGTGGTGTAAACTCGGGATGTGGTGTGATCCCGGAATGCGGTGTGATCTCTGAATGCGGTGGGTTCTCGGAATGCGGTGGGATCTCGGAATGCTGTGTGATTTCTGGGTGCGGTGTGATCTCGGAAAGTGGCGTAAACTCGAGATGTGGTGGGATCTCGGAATGCGGTGTGATTTCTGAACGCAGTGTGATCTCGGTGTGGTTGTGGGCTGGTCCGATGTTGTCAATATGTAAATGTTGATGGGGTCATGGTGTGGGCGGCTGGCGTGACGCTGCCATGGTGTGGGCGGCTGGCGTGACGCTGCCGTGCGGAGGGAGATGGTCGGACGTTCTGATCTGGCGGGATGTGATGACACTGGTGTCATGACACTGGCGGGATTTCGCTACACTGCGCGGTGTTGTGGCCTGGCCAGTTGCCGTGCTCCCATGCTGTGCTATCACGTGGTCTGGTGTTATGGTCTGGCTGTACGTCGTGAGGCCTTATTTTCTGGCCTTATCACGTGTCTTGTTGATCTGGCTGCTGTAAAGTACCCGGGTAAATGACCTCTTACAATATGAATCGTATCTGAAGTTTACGTCTAATATAAAATACTGTTAAAGATGGCCCATGCAACATGCCGGACACACGGTATCGCATATCGTACAAGTTGCCTCTGCCAACTATGTGAAATTTTTAATTTCATGTTGCATTCATCCATAACCTCACTACTTCGCACCCAAGTTTTAAAACCCACACCTTCAACTCACGGCGCATCCCTTGACCCACCAATCGGGCGCCGCCGCCGTGCTGACGCCATCCGTCTTCGGCAGACGCCGGACGGGTCTTCGCTGCCGAGTCCTACGGCCAGCATGCAGAGCTACCTACGGAGCCTGAACCGGAGCGCACTGGCGCTGGTATCGCCCTCTGCGCGGCCGGCGCCGGCCGAGCCGCTGTACCCGTGTCCGCTGCCGCCGGCGCCGCTCGGCTCCTCCAACCCGGGCCTGCCGTACCTGCAGACGATCCTCGACGACGTGCAGATCGTGCGCGACAAGAAGCCGGCGTCGTACTATCGGAACATGAAGCGCTCGTCGTCGGAGAGTCTGCTCACGTCGGTGCGCCGCCTGGGCGAGTGCACCATCAAGATGGCCACGCCGGTGGAGTGACGTCGCCCTCGGCGGTGTGACGTCAGGTGGCGTCAGGTGACGTCGGGTGACGCTGCCGGGATGGCTGGTGGCGTTGGCTGACGCCCGGCGCTGCCGGACTACAGGACGTCAGTGGCGTCAGTGACCGGCGGATGCGTCAGGACGCGTCGCCCGCTCGAGATGTTCGGTCATGCGTGGTGACGAGGAGAAAATATGCGCGACGACACTCCACCCTTGCGGCACACCGAGTGCAGGCTCACTCAATGCAGCGCGGGCGCTGTGTGGACACGAAGAGTGGTACCAGGCCAGTTTTTGTATGCCGAATGGAGTCTCCAGCAGAAGTTTTGATGAACACGATAGAGCAGTAAGGACGCTGCGAACGTGTCGTAAGACAGATGAATGTCAACAGGGCCACCAGGATCACGCAAGAGTGGCCGTTATTCCATAACTCAGCTTTAACTGCCATCGTTGTGTTGTGCGCGTTCTCTGTTTCCCTTCGCGTTTCGTGACCAGGGCATCTTCGTCGGATCTCACGCGTCGCTGTGGTCGTCTCGTGCCAGCTTGTTGACGCGTTTCCTGTCTCAGAAGAATGAAGCTTTAGTTGAAGGATAACTTTGACGGTGTTCAAGTTGTTGTGAGCCTGTTTCGCGGCAGGTTCAGGTGTTCCCTGTTGGTTCTGACCTAGGTTCGACCTTTGATGAGTGCGCCGCGGATGTCGTACCTGCGCTCTTAGACGCATTCGTAGTAAAACTCATCCACATGCTGAGCAATCGTGGCCTGTCCTGTCGTTCTGAGAAGTTGTACCAGGGCCTTGATGCAGAGTGTCTTGTGTCCAAACAAAACAGTGATGGCGCCGTCCCGGCATACCTCAAGCGGGGTCCGCTAATGGCGCCCAACCCTGGCGCAACCACGTGTTACCAAATTGTTAGGCGCGGCATCAGTCCGGCGGTACAAAACACAGGATGGTCAGCTAACTGGACGGCAGCGCAAGGAAGAGGGCAGGATTTTTTGTGCTGAACCGGACAAGCCCGTCGTGCAATAGTTGTATTTTCTTGTACATACATATTTATTTATGTTGTTGGGATCGAGAAGTTTTGTACATTTTTACATGGACGTAGGTGTTACTTTGTTCTTCTAGCGCGGAGGTGGTTGGCCGTTGGTGCAAAGGCTCCGAGTACAGAAGCTAGGTGGACCCCAAATTGGAGCGGTTGGTTAAGTCGTGTAGCTGAGTCATTCGGGGCTTGACGACCCTGTTGTGGCGTCTCCGACCTGGAGCCTGGCTTGTACAGTGGTGAGGACATGGAGGTGGATTGCTCTCCTTCGCCAGCCAAACCAAATGTCAGCTTTTGCCTCATTATGTTGTGGGGCGTGCTTTTCGCTGCGCGCGGCCGTTTGCAAGCAGGACAGTAACAGTACTTGTGTGCCGGTGGAAAAAATCAACTCGATTTGGTATGGCATTATACGCTTGAAATCATTTGACGACATGAAGCGCTCACGTCAGGCTACTGATTTTGGAACTGGTTTCGTACATACCGGCTAATACGGCGTGAAAATGGAAATGTTCGATTATTATATGACTGAGAACGTGAGCAGCTGATCATTGTGTTCGTTTTAGGCAAGGCAACGTGAATCGTGAAAAACGTGACGTAGTATGGTGCGCCGTGAATAAACGGATGTCATGAAGAGCTGTGTTTTTCGTTATTGTTTCAAATCCACCTTTTCACTGTCTTGCAGAGTTGAGGAGAAACCCCGTAAAAAACAAAGAGGAATTATGAAGTTATTGTCATTTGGAATGAATGATTATCAAGCCCCGTCATTAAAAATGACGAGGTTTTGCCTGCAATTTGTTAGAGGAGGCAACGTTTCAAGACTATTTTGAACTTGGCGAGAACGCTCACGTATGCTGGGAACGGAACCGTACTTTGATTTCCGCTTGGGGTGTAATGGTGTGGCTATGCCCGCTGCTTACCAAAGACATTGGTGGACTGGGATATAGACATATATATATATAATGTGTGATGTGTGTGTGTGTGTGTGTGTGTGTGTATAGTATATCTACATTTTTGCTGACTGAAAATTACTGAGTCCAGTAGCAAGCACATGCTTGGTTCGAGGAATGTTGGTCATCGTCTTCTCTTCCATTTATGCAGAATTAATGGCCCGGTTTGGTACACGACTCGAGGTGATTTACTGCTTGGGAAAATCGCAGCCCTTCGTCACAATGCCCTTCCCTCCCCCCCCCCCCCCTACGTACACCTCTTCCCATATGGTGAATCTGGACATTACTGCAACTTTACTGCACACTCGGCTGCTGGGGCTGCATGGCGTCGCCTGCCTCCTGCCATGGCTGGAAGGGCGAGCACCGTGGGTAATCGATCATGCCTCTGGCTTCCCAGACGTGTGGCTTGACCACTACACTATCTACGCCCATGTTACATCAGATGCTGCCCATATACCATCACGCAGACGCTTCCTCCTCACTGTGTCCTCTGGCTAGCTCTTGCTGGCATCGATTCATCTTGCAGCATCTTGCTGGCATTCGATATCAGCAAATGGAATTATAACTCTGCTGTTGATGTATCACCCCTGATGTCCAAGTGGTCCCTGTGTGATTGTGCCCTCTCCTTCGACAAACCGGTGTCGGTGACATCTCTTTTCCTGTTGATATACGATACCTGTTTTGTTTCCTGTTGATATGGATGCCGTCTGATGTGACCTCCAATCCTGCGTCGCAGATGCCTGGTCGCGCCGGTGTCGTGAACAATCTAGCGACACCATGCAAGGTCAATGAGATGAAGACAAGGTCAAGGTCAATGTCAAGGTCAATGGAATGAAGAGGTCAAGGTCAGTGCCAATGGGATTAAGAGGTCAAGGTCAATGTCAATGGGATGACGATATTTTAATCGTCACGCCTTCGCTCCGAAGTGACATGCCGCTGTGCATGCACTCAACAGGATGATGCGATGTCCGTCTCGATGGCTCGTCACGATGTTCGTCCCGATGGCTCGTCACGATGTTCGTCCCGATGGCTCGTCACGATGTCCGTCCCGATGGCTCGTCACGATGTCCATCCCGATGGCTCGTCACGATGTTCGTCCCGATGGCTCGTCACGATGTTCGTCCCGATGGCTCGTCACGATGTCCGTCCCGATGGCTCGTCACGATGTCCGTCCCGATGGCTCGTCACGATGTCCGTCCCGATGGCTTGGACATCGTGATGAGCCATTGGGACGAGTTGGACGAGTTTGTCTGAGCGCCGGTCTCGCCATCCACCCACCCGTGGTGCAGCGGGTCCGGGTCGGTTTAGGCGCTCGCGATTTTCCCTTGACAGCTAGGGTTGCGGTCGGTGGCAGCAGCCATGCTAAAGGTCAGGTGACGTACGAGGGTAGGACGGACCGTGCCGAGCAATGCGGCACGTTGAGCTTTCGCGATCGAATACTGCAGCTGATCTGAATTACCGCGATCGGATGGCAGGAATCTCAGGGCTCAAAGACAAACACCGCTTAACCTCATCTGTGATGCAAGAAATCCATCCGTTCAAAAGGTAAGGATTAAATGTAAAAAACAGTGACGATTATGAGTGACGCCTTATATATGCCTCCTGTTGTTTGACTCTGCGACTTCGGGTATTTGACCTAGCAGCAGCTGCTATCACCGTTTAACGAGCTGCAAATCCCGAGTGCGATGAATGCTAGAACACAAATGTCCGGCATTGTTCAGCCTCCATAAGGCTGACTCCATAGCTCGCGACATCCGATACCCAGCGGGCTGGAACCTGAGACCAGCCTGCAGCCAATACCCGTCCGATCCCCGCCGCAGACTTGCTCGTATCCTGCCGCTAAACTGTTTGTCACGTGACGTGGAGCACGACCCGCACGGGCGGCACGTGCTCTCGCAAACCAAATGCCTGGCCGTAGTCAGTTTACAAAGTGGGATCGCGTTTGCGCCGCTCTTAGCAGCCTAGTCGCTGCAGAAACATCGTCGCCGATTTCAAAAGCGACCGTTGTAAGAGTGGGGTCGCGACGGTTGCCGACTTCTTATCTTCACTTCTCCGCACGACAGTTTGCCGCCTATCAGACGACGGATGTGTGCTTTTTTGTCTGTTGGCACCGGGCCAAGCTGGGGCGGCGCCGCCCCCGTCCACGCTGTCGGGCAGTCGTAGTCTGGGTTCGCGCGCGAGAGGAAGGGGCTTGGTACAGACGACAGCTGGAGCGCCAGACAGGTACACCGCGAGCATGACAGGTGCGTAAGCCCGCCGCCGACGCAGCCCGGGGAGCACCGAAGGGACCGTGAACCACCCTGAGGCAAGTGGTTCAAGCGAGGCAGTTTCTAAGGAATTTGGCGCAAAGTCGCAGGAGTCTGTTTGTGAAAATTTGGTATTTGCCGTTCTGAGGAAAAATGGCCGTGCGTGCCTCAGTCCTTCACGTAACCTTATGTGTCGGTGTGTGAGGATGGTATGTGCCGACGGCGTTTGGCTGAAAGCTGTCCGATCAGGATGATGTTTATAACGCTGCGGTCTGAATAGAATATCGCGATGCAATTGCAATTAAGTGATAATCCATAACTACGAAATTAAAAGCGGAGGAAGGCGAGTTGAAACCAAGCCCCGGTCGCGACGCACGAAGTGTGGTAGCAACACAGCACCACTAAATTCAAACAAAGGGGGAACGAGCAATTGCACGGCCAAAAGTGTAGGGTTGGGCATGCATCTGACATCAGTGATCACGGGCCCTCGTGCGTAAACCACGGCCCCTCCCATTTTTTGGGGGGCGTTTTGAAGACTTAGCAACATATCTCGGCAAGCAGAGCAGGTACAGTGGCCAACCTAACTGATAAGATGGGCGTACCATGTCGCCATGTATAATTCACCAGGTGATCTGAATAATATCCTGCCCATGGATATGTCACTAATGGTCCAGAAAGCAGTGAGCGTGACATTTTTCCAAGCGGCCTTCGAAAGCAACACCCCGCGCCCCAAACGGAGATAGATTGAGCTTTGGTGACTGCGTAGTGGAATAGAGCGGCTTTTCCGACCAACGTCGATTAATAAAACGTGCGTCAAACAATCTTGATTTTCACAATTTTGCCAACGGAAATTGCCAGGCTTTGCTGGGCCTAAAGCCAGGCAATATGCTTGAGTTAATTCGGTTCAGTTCAATTCAACAATTCACTCAGCGTCATTTGTCAAGTTATCCGGGGGATACTAAACATCAGCACACCTGTGCTTGCTTATGTTTTGAAAAATGTTATTCCGGTAAAACGTTGGGTCTTCTTGCCATGGTTCTCAAAGACGGCCGACTTCGTTTATTCATGTATTGGTGTCGTCTAAAGGATCATAACACTCGTCTGAGTTTACCGCGCCCTTCCCGTTCGTTTATGTCTTGGTGTCGTCTGAGTTATCATGACAATCGTTTGAGTTCGCCGCGCTCCCCCTCCCCCGCGTCGCCAAAGTCGGCCTACTTGTGTATGCGAGATAAATGCTCAATTGCTCGCTTGCTCAATAAATTCCAAACCAAGAAATAATGATAACTATGGTAAGGTGAGTATATTAGGTACTTATGCCATTGATAGTTCACGAGTAGGATGTTTTTTTTAGCTCCTGTGAAGCTATCGATTACCGTGAAACGCATATGTATATTTTTAATTCCGGGGCGCGTGAATTACGTCTCGTATTTGGGTCCTTGTGCACTTCACAACAGAAAGCTCGCGTGGGTTTTCAGTAGATGATCTACTTAGCGATGGACAGTGGTAAATGACATGTCTCGATTTGTGATAAGGATAGGTCTTGCTTACTAATGGTTAGCTGGCAAGATGAGGTCGTCAGAAATATGTGCTTGCTGAATTAGCACTTCGGTTAATAATTTGCTTCGCTTTCCCTCATGCCATCAATGTGTGGTGTTGTGAACAGGCCGAGCGAATTACCCGAATGCGTCGGTTGGTAGCATCAGCCAGCCAATGCAGCTGAGCATATCTGTCCGTCTAAAGGAGTCAGTCAACCTGCCGAACGATGTCCGTCTAACGGATGACACCGGTGTCCCGTCAGAGCTTCAGTGGGCTGCGGGCTCGGGCGGCTCCGTGCCGGAGGGTGCCGTGAGCTGTGAAGGGGCGTACGTCGGCCGGGCCCACCACGACAACGGCATCATCATCGGACCCGTCGTCTGCGCCGACAGCTGCTGCGCCATCGGCTACTGCGGAGAACGCTTCACCAAAGACGAGTATGAGGTAAGAGCTGGCGCAACGAGGACGAGTAGGAAGACGAGGATGGGAAGGAGGAGGAAGCCGGTTCGATAAGGCTGAACAGCCTTGTTGAACCGGCCTTCTCAGAGCGGCTTGACGGGAGCCTCAAGGAGAGAGCTCCGCGTACAAGTGGTGGTCTTGAAATTGAAGAGCTTGTACCGCGCAAGTGGTTGGCTCAATACAGTAAGTGGCCGGTAGGATTACCAAAGTTGTGAAGTGCGCTTGCGAGGAACATTATGCATATAGATAAGACAATAGCAATAGCCTTATTCCACGCAGAAAAAACAGGATAATAGAGAAATTGATGCATTGATATTTCGGTGACATGCCTGTATTGAAACAAATATCAGAACAAATTCAAGATTACCTGCCGATCCTGCTCGATTTTTCATGGTTTTGTTTTGAAACACCGAGCCACAGTTTAACAGATCACCAGCGTTCAGGTGGTTAAACGAAGAGCAGTTACCAGCCATTACTAGGATGCAGGTCACGTCTAAGACTTAGAATACACGAAAAATATGAATTGCAAAAAAGTTAATAAAAAATTACGAGTACGCCTGCAAACGAATCCAGGTCAACAGCCATCCTGCATCACGCTTCATTCAAACATGCAAGCGGTTTCAACACACAGGCATCACGCATCACAATCAATTTGACTCGCCAACGGTTTCAGTTAAAAAGGCATCGTGCATGACGCGTCAGGCATCTTTCATACATACGATTACGCACGATTACATACGATTTTACGATTTTACATACATACGATTTTAAGCTGTTCAGGACGATCCAGAGAGGAATATTCGTGAATTTATTCCTGTAAAAAGCCAGCGACTAGACCTTAACGCGCAGGGCTACTCATGGCCGATAATGCGAATGTGATACGTGCCTTGATGCGTGGTGATTGCTGGCTTAATATTGGTTACATGCGTGAGTGATGTCTGACGCGCGATGCGTGACACCCGTTTGATTGGAATCGCTTGCATTTATAATGGGTAATGCCTGTTTATTTTAAATAGCGTGATGCCTGTATACTTCAATTCGTTCGTATGTAGACGTATTTTTCGTGTATTCTAACCCTTAGTTAATTATGCATGGAATGTCTGAATGTATAATTGATGTGTGATGCCTGCTTACTTGAAATGGCTTGCATGTTTGAGTGAAGCATGACGCGTGATGCCTGTTTACTTGAATTCGTTCGCATGTACACGTGTTTTTCGCAGATTACAACCCTTTGATATACACGGTATTGTAAGGGCTGGCAGCTGCATCTTGTTTAATCCTCCTGAATGTTGGTGACCTGTAAAAATTGTGGCTCGCTATTTAGAAAAAAAAACAACGCAAAACTGAATAGGATCGGCAGACAATTTGGAATTTACTGCCGATATTGTTTTTTATAAAGGCATGTTTCCAAAATATCAACGCATATATCTCTCTATTCTCCAGTTTTCTCTACGAGGAATGCGGCTATTACTACTGTCTTATCTATAGGCCGGTGGGATACTCAGACAAATATACTGACTGTGGTCAGACAGCCAATCACTGGACGTTCGTCCGTCCCGTACCTGCTCAGCTTTTCTAAGAACCGCGCATGCGCATTATCAAAATATTGTGCCATAGTTCTGTTTGTCGTCATGGCAACGAAGCCGCGATCAGTATAGCAAGCCAGCCAATTGATGCCGCTATTCATCATGGCCGACTCTCCTGGAGGCCTGGTTGAGAACCACCATGCTCAGGCCAATGTGATGATGATAACCTGATGATCCTCCCAGAACGAACGTAGCTGCTTGCCGACATTCCTCTCACAGAGTGCACCTATCGCTGACAATATTTAGATGGGCCCAAAATTGCTTGAATCTCTTTGAACTGCACCTCTACACAGAGTTGCCACTACAGCATTTTTTCACACTGGTGGCGCCGTTCCACACCACGTCAAACTGTTGATCGGCAGAAACTAGAGCCCGGTCACAGAATAGTGTGCCCCTGACCGAAAAGGATCGTCACATCGTCAGACCCATTGGCCTTTACTGTCAGCATTTGTTGCAGGCCGTCAGAAGAATCAAGTACAGCCCGTACCCTGCACCCCGCACCCTGCATCCCGCACCCCGCGCCCTGCAGCCCGCACCCCGCGTCCTTACAACTCGCGCCCTGCACCGTGGCACCCCGTGCCCTGCAACTTGCACCTACCCTGCAACCTGTATCACGCGCCCGCACCCTGCAACCCGCACCCCGTACCCTGTACCCCACCCTACACCCCGCACTCTGCGCCCTGACCCCGCACCGACGGCAGCTCATGCTCTGCCTGCGGTCTCCTCCTACGCTACGTATAGTTTGACGTGGCTCACGTTCGCCAGGTGCTGCTGGAGCCCACAGACGGCAAGCGTCTTCGCTGGGAGAAGTTCACCGGGGATATGCCCGAGGGGGCCGTGAAGGGGGGCTACCTCTGCTCCGGTCACCCGCTCTATGTGGGACGTACCTGGAAGGACGGCAAACTGCTCATTGGCCACGTGAGGATCCTTCCACCTTATAGGCTGCCTTCTGACGCAGTTTTTGTAGGGGCGCTTCTGACTTTTGTTGTTCTATTGGGGTTTTAGGCGTGCCGACAGCTAAGGTCACGTGGCACTGAGGAGTATGTCGTCAACGAAAAGTTGCTTTGTTTCGGGAGAGTAACGGCATGGTGGGACATCGGACTGCATGTGATGGAAACGTAGGTGCTTATTCAGCTTTGTTGCCGTCTTGGCGGTGATTCTGCCGAAGAATACTAGTGACTGAAGGCAGGTTTCGATTAATTTACTCCTGTGCACATCCCTGCCTCAGATCAACAACGCGGAAAAGTAGGGGATGTGTTTCGTCCGAGTACAAGTGTTATGACTGTAACAAATATAGATGGGAATTTAACTCGAATTATTTCGAATTAATTTCTAATTTGATTTGCCAATTTATTATGCCTCATAATTCGAATGACTTGTAAAATACTTCAGTTTAATTTAATTAGATTCAATGTCATGAAGTTGAATCAAAACAAACTCATTTTAATTTAATATTCAATTTCATCCGACTGCAGCGAATTTAATCTTGTGCACGCCCCTGCCTCAGATCAACAACGCGCGTAAGGTGTGCTGTGTTCCCTCCGAAGACAAGTGTTACGACTGCAGCGAATTTAATCTTGTGCGCGCCCCTGCCTCAGATCAACAACGTGCACAAGGTGTGCTGTGTTCCCTCCGAAGACAAGTGTTACGACTGCAGCGACTTTTACGTCCTGGTCGCCTACTGAACCCCGCAGCAGGAGACTTCTTTGTCCTGGTCGCCTGCTGAACCCCGCACCAGGAGACCTCTTCGTCCCGATCACCTGCTTCCGAAACAGGAGACGGTCGACGAATCAAGCAGGATCAGCACGGATCAACGCCGTCGATCACGGCGATCAACGGCTGCAAAAGATTCATGGTTTCATTATAAAAGATTCATGGCTTCATTGGCTGAAAACACTTTCACGGGACATGCCCAACCGCGTCAACCTTTGAAATCACTACTCTCCGTGTCTGCGGCCTATCGTGTTAATTTCGTTTTGTTTTTAATTTTGTGTCCGTCTGTGCAGCCCTCTTAGCTTGCTACCACACGGAGGTGCTCAACTTCGCTACTGCTCAGTGCTCGCATGAGAAACAGATCAGAGCGCTCACCAATCCCGCGAGTGCTCCTCGCTCCCGCGCAGTAAGACGCTTACAGCGGCCGCAACACCGTCTGACCCTCGAGAAGCGCACCGTGTTTGTTTTTTGAAGAGGGATTTTGTGTTACTCGCTTTACACTCATCATTCGTGCGAAATTTTGTGTGCTTCTTTGCCGCCGAGTATCACGCTTTCCGCTTAGGTTCAGCATTGTAGCAGCGGTGGCCTAGGTACGCCATTTGAATACACGCATTCCTGAAATGTCGCTTGTTTGCCTCAACTTGCTTTTGGCACGAACAACAATCCACGGAAAACGTCACCAGCAAGACAATCAAAGCAGAATTATTTAGGCTGTTAAAGTCTAACTGTTTGTAACGCCGCATTGCGCAAAACCACGCGCATTCATACACCATATAACAGCATGTATGCGCACATATATAGGTCACGCGCACGCACCCGTCAACAAGCGACTTGACCGTGCAGTTCAAGACCAGCTGATCGCTGGTTTGCTCCGGAGACTATCCCCTTCGAATGCATAGATCAATGATCGATGATCAATGCGCTGCGCCCTCAGGAGACTGTCCCACGGTGCTGTGGAGGGACTGTGACGTCATCCGTAGGCGTTGCTTAGGGCTGAAAGACGCATTTGGCGTATGTTTTGGTGAAAGTGTTTTACGGTCGGACACAGACGAAGATTCTTCGACCTCATATTCCGACAATGTTGCTGCTGCCCCATGCGCCTAAAAACCTGGTGACAGCCGTCCCATGCGCCTTAAAACCTGGTCGTTAATTTTCTGCTTAGTGTGTCTCTTTTTTTCCTTTTCACCACCTCGCCCACTCTCGGGGCCGCTTTGTTGCGTCAGGCGACACGTCCCACTTATGAACTTTTATCCTTTGCTTTTGAGCATCGCCTTCCTTCCGAGGCTGGCTCAGCAGTGGGTGAGCGCCTCGATGTGCGGGGAGGAGTTGATCGCATGCCACACGTGCATAGCACTTAAAGAAGAATGCTGCAGAAGTATCATTGATGGATTGCTGGAAGTGCAGGCTACTTGATCGTCTTGAAACAATGAGCATGTGTATGACGAGTCTCTTAAAGTATTCTGAAATTTTTGGCTGAGTGTGAGAGAGTGTTTGGTTGCGTAGGATTTTGATTCCAAGGTTTTAGCAGGCAGCAAAAAAGAAACATGAAAAGAATAACCTGGGTCAGTTCTCGTTGGGGGCAACCCTGGTGTGTTCACACATGAACATAGTGCCAAGTTGCGGATTGGGGATGATGGTTACGAGCGGAAATAAAGAGGCAAATCAAACCTATTCCGTCGAGCAGTCATAGGTCACAGGCACATGCAGTATCACATCCACACCAGAGCCAAAACTGGGCGGAATTATCACAGTCTCAAAGGAAAAAACAATTGCAAAAAGAAACAAACAGATGAACCAAGTGCCACCATTGTCAGCGTATTTACTCAAACATGCGGTTTCTGTCGCCGGATCCTGTTTAATCTTGTTTGATGACATTCTAGCACGAATGAATAACGACGACGAACGCTTGCTTACCAAAATGATCCCAAAATCTATAAAAAATCTAGGAATATCACATTACATGAACCTCCGTATCGAAGCGAACCACTGCGACCAGAACTCACCCAGCACACAACGTCAGTCATTTGCCAAAAATTATCAATCCGCCGGAAGGAAAGACCTGCGTTTATCACGACTCGCATTCTCATCCAAAGTTTAAGCGCCCTCCTGACAATGCAGAGCCAACGGTGCACCCATTCCGGTGGAACCAAAACAAACAAACGCGACAAGAGCGCGCCAGCCGGCCCATGGCGCGACGCCTGCGACCGAGAGCCGCTGCCGCGAGACAATCATGGCGCCCACCGGCAAGGCAAACAGCGTGCCCGCATGGCGTCGTGTTGACAGATCTGCACCGCTGGCGTGTTTTGTGTGCACTGTCTGGTGCAAGATAAAACGCTGGCTAACAGCCCCTGCGGCGGTCGCCTTGCGCTGTAAGCAAATCACTCAAGTGACGTCTGCAATGAGATCTACAATCGCTGTGCAGTCTTTGAGCAGACGGTATGCACGGCCATGTGGTTGAGTGAGTGTGACCACTTGTAGATACGGGTTGCTAGCCAGCTTTTTTAAAGTTGCCCAATTTTGACTTTGCACTGCGCTGTGAATAAATGGCTTTCTGTCAGAGCTTTGAAATATTTAAGCCAGCAGTATATATCTAGCTATCGAAGTAACATGGATAAGACAGTTGCATTAGTCTTATTGCTCGGAAAAAAAAACAACAGGAGAATGGAGATACAGTTAGGTTGATAATCCGGCAACATGCCTTTTGTTTGCCGAAATATCAACCTAACTATATCTCCATTCTCCTGGTTTTTCTGAGGAATAAGACTAATACTACTGTCTGATCTATGTGAATAATGTTCCTCGCTTATGCACTGAACAACTATCGAAGTAACTATTCACAGTGGTGGGAACCCGCAGACCAGGCTGGGGAACGAATAGGGGGATGGGGGGGGGGGGGTGAGGGGATGTGTGACCCCGATGATGATGACGGTGATGATGTGTGTAAGTGACCCCGGTCACTCGACGTTGAATGCATCATTAACGTCCTGAGAACACCCTTTTAAGATCTTCGAGCACCTTGCCACATCCAGAAATGTATTCTTTAGCGCAGGGTACCCTAAAACGGGCCAGGATTCGGCCACGCCAGCTGGAGTACCGCGGGGTGCATGTTCTCGATCAGAGAGGCCCTGGTTGGTTGTTTGGTCTTGCTCTTCCACATCATCCAAGTCATCCTTTCAGTCGAAGCAGGGGGCTGTCAGCGAACATTTAGGCACCGAATTAAGTGAACACTGACTTACCTGACCTGGCGCTGACTTTGAAGACTTCCTAAACAGAGCCCTCGAAATGTGATATTATTTAAATTACTTTTCGGAGGTCTCCAGTGAAAACGTTGCGCACGTTTGATGGCAGAGGCGCAGGGGGTGAGGTTATATATATATTCCGCATAGGCAAGTCAAGATCTGACTTCTTGTCTATATGTATATACATATATGTCCATATATACATATATATGCCCTATATATCTCTGATATGCATATATATGTGTATATATAAATATATAATCCTATACCTTGATGAATATATATATATATATATATATATATATATATATATATATATATATATATATATGCATCGAGCATGTTCAAAAACTGATTGCCAATAACTTCAGGGTCTGGTCTCAGGCAGACCACCTTGACATACCTACCTATATACCTACCTACCTACAGACCATACCTACATACCAACAGACATACCTACCTCGAGCGGTTCTAGAGGGTCCAGCACAACATCACTGAGCTGACTGGCCTGCTCCTCGGGTAGGTCAGTCAGGCATCCAGTCAGTTAACTGTATTTAACAGTATTCAATTGTATTCAACTGTATTCAATTGTATTCAACTTTATTCATTTAAAGAGGACAGTGCGTGACTAACAAATACTATGTGCTGTATGTGCGCAGTATGTTTATATTGGTGACATGTGTTTACTTTGTTCAATATGTGGTATAAATATACTGGACATTAATATTCTGGTCATATAGGATGTGATATACTGTGCTAGAAGTAATATACTAGACAGACTAGATGCCTGGCTTTATTACATGACAGCCCATTAGTGTGTGAACAGAATCCTTTACCTGTGTTTAGGTAGTGAGTTACACATTATATAACCACATAGAGAAAAGTAATTAAGAGTGTGTTCCGAATTTGGTTTTTTCCATCGTCATACCAGCTCAAGGAATTGTGATCTAATGCTGGTAAGCAGTACAGAACATTGCACGTTCGTGTGGGTATTTGCGTGCCGCGGGTCTTTTATGCCGTCCTGAGATGGTGTGGTCCGGCGGAGGACAGATGGAGAGGAGGAGAGGAGGAGAGGAGGAAAGGAGAAGAGGCTGGAGAGGAGGAGAGGAGAAGAGGATGGAGAGGAGGAGAGGATGGAGAGGAGGAGAAAAGGAGAGGAGGAGGGGAGGAGAGGAGGATAGGAGGAGAGGATGGAGAGGGGAGGAGGAGGGGAGGAGAGACGGAGATTGGTCGGCGCGGCAGCTTGTACTTCTGTGCGTGGTGTGCGTCTAACGGAAACGGTCGGGCAGACGGAAACACCCGCATCTCCGCAGGGCTGCGCGTGCACTAATGAAATTGACCAAGCATGCATGCGTGACAAATAAAACAAAACAACACAACGAGGTCAATGATCGCTCTGCAGCAAGCTTGGACATTCTTCCCGGTTGGTCAGGCCACCGCCATCAAATCCCGCCCACTGCTGGCACCCATTCCCACCCAACAGATGGGAATGGGTGACAGCAGACCACACTAGTGGCGCCACACGGCGACTGTGGCGCCGCGTAGCGGTGCTCACAGAAATCGGGCAGACGCGCGACAGCCAGCATGTGGCTCCCTCTTGAAAATCCGCTTCGCGTGGCAACTATAACGTCGGCAGCTATTTCAATAAATGGTCATCCCTCATTTAATCATGCATTGGTTGACACGCGTCTGGGTAACTGGTTGCATGCAACGCGCTTTGGTGAGGCTGAGAGGTGGGGTTTAGTTTACCCCCCCCCCTCCCGAGATCTAAAAACCTAAAACTTTGAGACACCAAATTCACAGGGTACGTAGGCCTGCATGCGAACCAACTTGGTCAAATGTTGCCGTTCGGTTCGGGTCAAATAGGGTCAGATAGGGCTAAACAGGGCTAAACTCACTATCTGTATCGAAGTGCCTTCCGACCTCTCCATATCGCCATTTTTAACCTTGATACCTCCTCCAAGTAAAAGGTCAATGATGTTCATCTCAGGTCATTAGTCTTATTTGAACTTTACACATAGTGGGCATAGAGGCCTTAGCGCCTAGAGCCATCGGCGCCATATTCACACATGTGGATAAAGCCATTGCACATTTGAACTAGGCACCTGAACAAATTTTAAGTCGCAGGAACGAAGTTAAAGAACAAATTTTGTTCCTGACCCCGGCCAGGAGTCCTGACCAGCAACCAAACTCATAAAAGCCATCATTGTTTGCATCTAAACATGTAGTGCGTGGAAACACTTATTTGCTTTTCTGTGCCATGGCCGAACATGATGACAATACACAAGAAGACGTGATGCGTGTAGTTGTAATCTGGCGATGTAGGTGTAGGTGTTTACTGAGTTCAAGGACATCCATACTTATGGCGTAATAATTTTTCGT